GTAAATGGTATCATGCATACATATAATCAATTTTTTTCTTCTTTTGATCTACTCAAATCAGTTGTATGTGAATTCCCAGACTCATGTATTACAGTTCAATTAAATTCACGTTTATTTGTTTAGTGCTTTTCATGATACAAATTGTTATAAAGCAGCTTCACAGAAAATTTAAGTTTCTACATTACATTTAGGAGTAGCTTATCAGTGGTGACAATGTCAAGGTGATGTCCATATGGCAGATATGTACAGAAAAAAATCATGCAGTTAGTCAATGACATGTATTCAAAGTCAAAACAAACGGTGAACACTATTAACAGCAATGATTATGCTGTGATCAAACTTATAGGCAAATTTGGTAGTTTTGTATGCTGGTTCAGGGCTGGCGTCATCTGAGGTCTGAGGGGTTGGCATCATCTCTTCTCAGGTGTTCGGTCATCTCAGATCTTTGTAAGGGCTGGATCCAGACTGATGCTTGTGTAATTCTTAGTTCCCTCGGGATTCCCATCCCGTGGCAGAAACAGAGAAGCAAATAGAGAAAAATTAGCATAGCTGCTATTCAAACCAAGCAAAAAATGATAACGTGTTCAAACTAAGCATAGAATGATAATGTGCATTTGATCAGATATAACTTGAGTACAAGGTTATGAGAATCAACATGTGAATGCTTGGCTAAAAGTCTTTAATCTAGATTTAAACAGAGAGAGTGTGTCTGAACCCCGGACTTTATCAGGAAGGCTATTCCAGAGTTTGGGAGCAAAATGTGGAAAAGCTCTACCTCCTTTAGTGGACTTTGCAATCCTACTACCAAAAGTCCAGAATTTTGTGATGGATTGTAGCGTGATAGAAGACTAGTTAGGTACACAGGAACTAAACCATTTAGGGCCTTATAAGTTAGTAATATTTTGGGACTGATATGGAACTTAATAGATAGCCAGTGTAGAGATTGTAAAATTGGGGTAATATGATAATATTTTCTTGACCTGGTAAGGACTCTAGCCGCTGCATTTTGGACTACCTGTAGCTTGTTTATTGAAGATGCAGGACAACCAACTAGCAGTGCATTACAGTAGTCCAGTCTAGAGGTCATGAATGCATGAACTAGCTTTTCTGCATCAGAGTATAGCAAGTATAGCAATACTAATGCAATACTAGAAATTGCAAAGTTAAGGCATCAGTTTTTCTCCATTTGCGCTCAAGATTACGAGTTTCTATCTTGAGAGAATGGGTATTAATGTTGTACCATGGCACAATACGTTTTTCTCTAACCTTTTTTAACTTGACGGGGGCAGCAGCTTCTAATGTATTAGAGAAGATAGTGCCCATATTTCTAGTCATTTTGTGTAGTTCATGTGCATTTATGGGTACACAAAGCATTTCAGACAAATCAGGCAGGTTATTTGTGAATCTGTCTTTAGTGGTTGGAACAGTTGTACCCAGATGATAACGCGGCGGAATATAGTTAATATTAGTAACAGTGTTGGGCAGTAACTAGTTACTAGTAACTTAGTTACTGTAATAATATTACTTTTTGCAGTAACTATTAGTGTAACTAATTACTAATAAGATTTCGGTAATAATATTACAGTTACTATCCATAAAACAGCTTAGTTACTTAGTTACTTTTAATGCCTCAACCCCGCTGATTTAAAATCCAACAATCAAATAATTCCTAGATTTATTTTCATAATTTTCATGACTCGCAAATTAGCATAGCTGCTATTCAAACCAAGCAAAAAATGATAACGTGTTCAAACTAAGCATAGAATGATAATGTGCATTTGATCAGATATAACTTGAGTACAAGGTTATGAGAATCAACATGTGAATGCTTGGCTAAAAGTCTTTAATCTAGATTTAAACAGAGAGAGTGTGTCTGAACCCCGGACTTTATCAGGAAGGCTATTCCAGAGTTTGGGAGCAAAATGTGGAAAAGCTCTACCTCCTTTAGTGGACTTTGCAATCCTACTACCAAAAGTCCAGAATTTTGTGATGGATTGTAGCGTGATAGAAGACTAGTTAGGTACACAGGAACTAAACCATTTAGGGCCTTATAAGTTAGTAATATTTTGGGACTGATATGGAACTTAATAGATAGCCAGTGTAGAGATTGTAAAATTGGGGTAATATGATAATATTTTCTTGACCTGGTAAGGACTCTAGCCGCTGCATTTTGGACTACCTGTAGCTTGTTTATTGAAGATGCAGGACAACCACCTAGCAGTGCATTACAGTAGTCCAGTCTAGAGGTCATGAATGCATGAACTAGCTTTTCTGCATCAGAGTATAGCAAGTATAGCAATACTAATGCAATACTAGAAATTGCAAAGTTAAGGCATCAGTTTTTCTCCATTTGCGCTCAAGATTACGAGTTTCTATCTTGAGAGAATGGGTATTAATGTTGTACCATGGCACAATACGTTTTTCTCTAACCTTTTTTAACTTGACGGGGGCAGCAGCTTCTAATGTATTAGAGAAGATAGTGCCCATATTTCTAGTCATTTTGTGTAGTTCATGTGCATTTATGGGTACACAAAGCATTTCAGACAAATCAGGCAGGTTATTTGTGAATCTGTCTTTAGTGGTTGGAACAGTTGTACCCAGATGATAACGCGGCGGAATATAGTTAATATTAGTAACAGTGTTGGGCAGTAACTAGTTACTAGTAACTTAGTTACTGTAATAATATTACTTTTTGCAGTAACTATTAGTGTAACTAATTACTAATAAGATTTCGGTAATAATATTACAGTTACTATCCATAAAACAGCTTAGTTACTTAGTTACTTTTGATGCCTCAACCCCGCTGATTTAAAATCCAACAATCAAATAATTCCTAGATTTATTTTCATAATTTTCATGACTCGCAAGTCGAATATGCATGCCCAGTGCAGCAGGCAAGCTTGGAATATGGAAAAGCTTACATTCAGCAGATAGAAATATTGCATTATATTGATTTTGTCAGGAAAAAAGATGATCTGAACACTGTTGTGTAAATTGTGGCTGTACTTTACTCTGGCATTACATCCCACCCACACCCCTCTGATCAGCATTTGGTAGTACATTAAAAATCTTTTTGGAAAATTAAACAAACTTTAATACAAATACAAACTTATGTGATTTGATAAAATACATAATGAAATATAATCGTATATGGGTAACAGAGAAATTACAATTAGCTTCAAGCTACACGACAATTAATGAGATTAATACAACGCTTCTACTTGAATGTCACTATCAATCACTATTGAGTGTTTGTAATAACTTCTGACTGCGATCCAATGTGGATTTTGGTCAAATGACGAGGCAGAAATATGTTGTTAGTAACATTCTAGAAGAATTTTATGTGGAAGATACCCAGTTACAGTACAACTTCTGTTGGGCGTGAAGAAAAAGTAATGTAACTAGTAGTGTAACTAATTACTGTTGCTAGAAAGTAATAAGTAAAGTAACATTACTTTTGAAAGGAGTAACTAGTAATGAGTAATATATCACATTCTTTGAGTAACTAGCCCAACACTGATTAGTAATATTCAGCATGCACGACACAAGGAAGTAGTCAGTAACATCATCACTTTGAGGTACAATATCTATATTAGTAGGCTAAGATCAATTCCATGTGATAAAATTAAATCTAGAGTATGATTAAAACGAGGAGTGGGTCCGGTGGCGTTTTGCTTGACCCCAAAATAATTTATTATGTCTGTAAACGCAAGTCCTAATGCATCATTTGTATTATGAACGCTAATGTTAATGTCTCAGACAATTCGCGCTTTTTCAACATTAACAAATAGGCTTGTGTAGCTCATGTCCCCACCTGCACTCAAAGGTAGACACATAGCCTATACGCCATTAGATCAAGTAAACAGTGAGTAAAACAATGATAATGTGTGTGAATAGAGTGTAAGGTGTGTCCCAATTCGTGCAGGCCTACGTATGCACTATTCTATGCTGTTTTGTAGTACAAATAGTGCGAGTAGTGCGTTCACACCGAAAATTCCACAAAGAAAAAGTGCACTTTAAATACCAATTTGATGCACTTAATTAACTGAAAAAACGAAGTGTGTAATGTTGGACACTTCATGCACTCAACTTTCGCAGCTTTAATTACATAGCGAAGGGAGCGGGGCTATCAGACGCCAATGTTGAATGACAAAATAACCTTATAAATTTCATACACTACATGGCTGAGTACATATACATATAAGTGCCTAGTGTATTGTGAGACATTTGGTACGCAACTTAAGCAATGTAAAAGGTAAAAAAAAAAAAAAAAGGTATGGTGGTCGTTTCAGTACACAACCAACTAGACAAAAACTCAGCACAACATCAGCACAAAAAAGAAGGTCAGAGTATAAGATTTCAATAAATCTCAGTACTGTGCATAAACAAATATAAAAGTAAAAATAAAGTATAATCCGTATTATATATTAAAGGTATAATTACATTATGTATATATATATATATATATATATATATATACATACATACATATACAAATTCACTTTTACATAACACTAGATACATGACTTACCACTTATTACTCATGGCTTTGGCCGCTAACAAAGACACTAGTCTAGTTGGTATTTTTGCTATAACCAGACACATATCCCAAAAGTTATGTTACACAGATGACATTTCTGAAAATAAAGTATGCTAACAGTGCTATTAGATTAATAAGCACCAATTGTTTTAGTCCTGACACATTATAGAAAAAAATAGAAAAGTGGCAGTGGCCAGTAAGTCAGAGGTTATTACACTGATTGGCTAGTTAATGTATAACAGTTGCATAAATATATGCTATCATTAGAGATGACTGACCTGCACCGCAGACAAACACTGAGCTTCCAAGAGTGACTCCGGCCCTCCAGCAGGCATGAATGCCCACCGACAGGGTCTAATGAGTCCATCAAAACTGCATGCCGGACAAAACGCATTTTGTACAAACATACATAAATTTATGCATTTATTTTTTCTTCTTTTAAAAGAATTATTCACTGGTTGTGCATGTGACATTTTTATTTATTTAAAAAGATTATAACGGACTACTTGTACAACTGCTTCCACGTTCTACTTATAACCCAAATCAATTTCACGAAACCACATAGACAAACTCAAGTATCCTTGTATCATAAATTTTAGGTAAAGCTTCATTGTTTGTAAACAAGATTTAAGTTAAGTAAACTATGAAAATAACCAGCTATTATTATAGCATTATATTAAAAACTGCACTCTGACAATGTTACATAAAATTCAATTTTAATACTTTTCATTATTATATAATAACAAAAGGTTTATTTATAAACACTTTACTAATGTAAAATGCTACCTATTCATAAAGTTATAATACAACTGAAATTGTAAATAATTGTGTACACTGTGAAGAAAAAAAACTGAATTCCTCTGACTGCTGTACCTGAGACAAGACGGTGAGGTTACTCACAAAATTAGCTGGATTAAACAAATTTATTCAAGTGACTGTAGCTAGGCAATAATCAATCAGGCATAGGTCCAAGAGTTCATCTCATGGGTTCTGGTCATTCTTGTCACATTTTAACATGACTTTAACCCCCAGCCCCTGACGGGTGGTTTCAAAGGCCTGCATAGCCTGCTCCAGTGGGAAACGGTGGGTGACCAGGGGCTTGACGTTCACCTTCTTAGACGCCAACATAGAAATGGCCACCGGCCAGCTGGAAAAACAATGAGGGAACATTGGTAAAAGTGTGCAAAGGAATAAAATCTTATTTTGAATTTACAAACTACAATAAATATGTATGTACATTGTATTCATATGTGAATCCCTAGTCCTAGTGATCCTACTTACGTATTACAGTAGCGGAATACACCTCTGATGTCAACTTCTCTGACAGCTGCATTGAGAAGAGGTACAGTGGTCATCTCGGTACCAAGCCCAACCAGCACCAGCACTCCTCCAGAACGAGTTGCCTAGACAAAAACACCCTCATCAGCACAAAAACAAGGTCTAAGTATGGGCTGTGATTTTAGCATGTCTTTATGGTGTTAGCAGTATGACTTCATTTTTGTCATTAAACTTACATAGATGGCTGTTTGAATGCTGCTCTGCACTCCAGTGCATTCAATGCTGATTTGAGGCATGCAACCCAGCATTCCCTCCACTTTCTTGGCCATGTCCTTTGGTTCGTCCTCTTTCTTCACATGAAGCAGGAAGTCTGCCCCGATCTCTTTAGCCTTGGCAAGCCGATCAGAGGACAGGTCTACAAAAAAATAGACTTTATTTGTGCAATGAAAACATATATAATTCCCTTTTGTACATACTGAATATATACATTACCACTTATTATTACTTGTGAAGCACCCATGGCTTTGGCCGCCAACAAAGACACCAGTCCAATTGGTCCTATGTTGATAAAAACAAACATATATAGTCCATTTATTACTTTAACCAGTCATACATCCCAAAAGTCATGTTATACAGATGACAGTGATATTAGCTTAATAAGCAACAACTGTTTTACAGTCCTGACACACTATAGAAAAGTGGCAGTGGCCAAGAAGTCAGAGGTCATTACCCTGTTTGGCTAGTTAATGTGTAACAGTTGCATAAATATCAATCATTAGAGATGACTGACCTGCACCGCAGACAAACACTGAGTTTCCAAGAGTGACTCCTGCCCTCCTGCAGGCATGAATGCCCACCGACAGGGGCTCGATCAGGGCTCCCTCCTCATAAGTCACATTATCGGGCAGCCTGCACACACACACAGCCATATATATGATTATTATGTATAGAATCAAAGTGCCATGGGCTATACAACTTATCCAGTAATAGTGATCTGACTTGTAGCAAAAGTTAGCATTGTGTTTGTAGTATCTGCATAGGTTTCCATCATCTGGAGGAGTGGCACAAAAGAATATGCTGGGAGACAGATTGTAGTGTCCTGATTTAAAGAACTCATCTACTTCACGAGGAACTCCAGGCTCAATGGCAACTCTGTCCCCTGTTGAATACAAAAATGAAAGAAAAACTGAGTGTAACTGACATAGTATTAAAAACTAAGCGAGATACAGAGAGAACTAACCTGCTTTGAGGTGCGTCACAGCAGAGCCCACTTTGACCACACGACCAGAGGCTTCATGTCCGAGTATCATGGGCTGTTTCACCACATAGTCCCCGATGCGGCCGTTCTGCCAATAGTGCACGTCTGATCCACAAATGCCCACAGAGTGCATCTTAAGTAACACCTCTTCAATAAAGAAGCCCGGAAAATAATGAATAAATATGAATATTGAACCGTTATTCTTCATTGCAATGCATTTGGAAATATTGCTAAGTGATGAATCCATACCATTTGGTCCTGGTTCCGGAATGGGACGCTGTTCCTGTTAAATATACAGAAAAATCTGCAATTATGAATCACAAGTTCAAGGGTTGCAAAATCTTCACCCAAATTGCATAACATGTCATACCAATCTGAGATTTCCTTTAGAATGCAGGACCACGGTGAGGTTGTCTTCAACCATTTTATTCACTTAAACACGTACAAACCAAACTCCAAATAACCTATGTAACGTTACTCCCGGCGCGCATATATTCATATCATTATTTGGCTCCTGAACGGGTCATGCGCACTTCCACTCACACATGCATTGCACCGACGCCCCTCACGGCCAGCCCACTTCTTCCTGTTTTCCGGTAACGTTAGGTTGTTTAAGAACATCAACACTGCGCGCTGTGCAGTCAGAGCGCAGTCTGTACAACATCACGCAGAGAACTGCCATCAGAGAAGAATAGTTACTGCATTTTAACATTGCCTCTAAAGAATAAACAAAGAATAATAATAAAAAATAACTATAAAAATATATTACCCTTTAAGCTTTGCATTGTCCAACGACTTTTCTCGCGTTAATTTAAAGACTTTTGCTATTTGAGCAAATGGGAATGCAAAACATATATTTGTGGTACTCTCTCATTCACTGCTCTTCAAGTTAACCCAACTATGACGACTTCCGCTGCTGAGAAAACCGAAAATGTGAAAAAAAAAATTTTTTTTTAAATTAACAATATCAGAAAGAAACATAAACATTAAAAAAAGAACATAAACATATGTGGGATACATATGTTAATAACAATTAAAATGTAAATAACTATACAGTTATTTTACAATCATAAAAGTTATAACTTATTATAACTATAATTGTGTTATAAGATTGGATGTTTTAAGGCGTTTTTATTAGCGGAGATTCTTTGAAGTGATGAGTAAAGCAAAAGTAAATCAGATGTGAATATTTTACAATTAGGTTTAAAGTTAAGGCATCTCGCTTTGTGAATGTGTAATTTTCCCATCATACAAATAAAGTCCAGGGCATCCTCTAGCTCCCTATTGTCAGAAACCACAGAATGAAAGAGAACTTTAACTGCTGAAATGTTACATAGACGGTGAAAAAGGTCCACTGGTACAATGAACAGTTCCAGAAATGCCGTAAGTTGTATGTAACCATGGTGATGATGACGCGTCTGGCTTCTCTAGTCAGTGCCGCCAGTATTTCTGAAATAGTGTGCTTGTATTACGTGAAATAAAATGAACGGGGATGATATGGTACTGGAATGTCGTAACAAACAACAGGAAAGTCTGAACATGAGTCATCGAGGTCTAGTTGTTTTGCCACCTGGTGTTTCGAGACTTATTACATTGAAAAAACTCTTTCTGAACAACAATAAGCTAATTTTACCACCAGACGAGGTAAGCCATATCCTCAAAACTAGTGTTTTTCAAAGTAGCTACTCACAAAACACAAATTGAATGAATTCGTAGCACATAATATATAATAATGCCTACATCACTGTTTACTGTAAACAGAAATCATGTCTAAAACAGTGTTTGCATCTTCTGCAAGATTCTGCATCTGGAAAATCTTGAAGAACTGACACTGGATAGAAACCAGCTGACCATACTTCCCGGCAACATTGGATCACTGAAACACCTGACTTACCTGGGCGTGAACCACAACCCATTATCTGTTCTCACAGAAGCCATAGGTGACCTGAGACAACTGAGAGAGCTCTGGGCTGTAGGATGCGGTCTTGTCTCCATACCATCGTCTATTGGTAAACTTGGCATGTTAGAGAAACTTGGGCTCCATAATAATAAAATTACACACCTGCCATCACAATTTGGGGGCCTCAGCAGTTTGCAATGGTTAAACTTGGCTGATAATAAACTTCAAGACCTCCCAGAAGATGTTAATCACTTACAGTCATTGGTCTTCATGAACCTGGACAAGAACTATTTTACAAACATCCCTACAGCACTAACAGGTTAATGAAATTACTATTTATGGCATGAATGTTTTTTTTTTTCTTTTCAACAAGCAGCTTTTGTATGTATGTGAAAACAGTTTCAAGAGGACGACTGGCTACAGTTTGCTGCAAGATGCTGCTGTACCTCTGATCTGTCACTTTGCTCTTATTAGACTATATTGTTAATGTTTAGAGGACTAATAGTTACTCTTTCACTCTCATTATTATTTTGAATGGTTATTAGATATAAACCGCTGTTTGTTCCCATTGGTGCTCAAGTCATGTGCAATTTTTTGTGTTCTGTTAATTATATGTTATCATACCTATTTCCAGACATGGCAAATCTGCAGATCTTGTCTGTTAAATTTAACAGCATCAGATCACTGGAGGATTACTTAATCCCTGGTTTCAGCAGACTTATAAAGCTTGACCTCAGAGAAAATCCTTTCATGGACAGACCACCTCACTGGAAGGTAATTAACCAAACAGCGACACAGGTTTTTAAGTACATCACTTTAATGATATTACCATTGTTATTCTCTGTAACCTGTCATATCAACTCTGTTCACATACAGGGATTGGATTTTATATTGTTGGGAAAAGTCTGAAGTGCTGAAGAAGATTCATATGAGATGAGTAGGAACTGAAAATGAGCATCCATTTGCATTAAATACTTTTGCCAAAGAAACGCATAAAACAAAGACAATCCACTTCTTATGTGAAGCATATTATATTACATTTCTTTGTGACAATGAGGGGGTGTCACGTCATTAGATCTTGAAACGTTATGGCCATGGAGGGAGGGAAGAAAATCATAAAGTTCCCCTGAATACTTCTTCATTTGGTCAATATGAACATATCCTGCAAAAGAGACGGTTTCTAAATTTGAGAACATGTGAATTATAGGTGAAAGTCCTAGGGTGTCAGTTTTATTTCTTAATTAAGTACCTGAGATCATGTTGTTTACAGGATATTGCCGCATCTCACAACATGAACACACTTTGTTCGGTGATGCAATAGTCTCGTAATCATCCTTGCTAATAGATAACATGAACATGAAGATACTATAAGGTTAAACCATGTTTTTATGAAGATAAAGTGCTGTGGTAATGAAAATAATAGTTAGCTTCAGTTGTATAGTAAATAGGACAATATTAAAGAATTATGTGTTTAAAAATGAAAACTCGCTACAATAAATGTATGCATTCTGCCCGAAACTATAAAGAATTCAGACATAATTACAAAATAAAAAAATGCTGGGTTAATGCATAGCCTACCTGTTCTTCTCTCTCACTGGTTGATCTTCAGTCTCATCAGATAGACTGTCTTCAGACTCTTCAGTATTTATCTGTTCTTCACTCATCACCTTTAATAGATTAAGAAGCTAACAAATGACTGAGAGGAATAACTGGACATGGGTTTTAACAGACAAGATGTACTCCTCCTACCTGTTCATCTGTTTCCCAAATGAACCTTCCGATTAGCAATCTCATTTCTAAAGAGAAAAATTCTAACAGTAATCAGGCATCCACTATTATTAAATGTAAAAACTACTCATTCTTTATATTGGAACATGTCACTAAAAATAATAACATGTTTATGGTTTACACTTAGTTAGGACAGCTCACCATTCTGGATAGAGTCGGGGGGCAGCACATAATGGCCAATAGGCACCGATTTTACACTCTGGCGGGGTTTACATGTTGACACGAAATTGCTGTGGAAAACCGTTGCCCTGTTCTTCACATAATCCTCACTTTCATATATCCTAAAACATAAAGAAATAAGGTTAAACTTTGTGGCAAAAGTTTTCAGGCATTTCAATGGTTTTGGGTACAGAAGATTTAGATTAAGCACAATCTATAGGCTGCTTTCTTCAGTATTCAGAAGTATGACCAAATCACCCTCAAACAAGAATTGTACAGTAAACTAATAATACCTTTTAGTGTCTTCAGAAGAGGCATCAGCACTGAAGAGGTAATCTGCTGTTTTCCAGGAGGAAAGAGCTCCCCCTTCAGAAACTGAAAGAATATAAACTCATAATGAAGCCAATTTATATTTTAAAAGTGTAAACCCTCAGATATAAGATGATTCCCAAATATTCATTAATAGTGTCTTTAATCACTTTACGTGAGTTATATTAGTAGCATATAGCAAAATACTCATCATCTCACCCCAGACGCTGGTCACCCCCATTCCAACACTGCCGGAGAACCATGCTGTTTTGCCTTTAAACATGCTTATGCCGAGGTGTTTATCACTTCAGTTCGCACAGAAACGATTTGAAGGCCTCGAGGTTGCAATTATTCTTCTTCAGACGGTAGGTGAGAAAATACCAAACGTTAACTGTGTTAGCTATTTATTTTTATAGTTATGTTCATACACCAGTTCTCACTGTTATTCTAGACATAAGTCATTAAAGAATTCCGTGGAAAGAATAACGTGGATAATGAAGGAGAAAAGTTAGGAAATTTAACACGGAAAAATTAGAACGTTCAGACGATATAACGGACTAGCGTTATAGCTCACATCGCCTCAGGCCTTGACGAGCAGTGTCCGATTCGTGAACGAACCGTTCTTTTGAGTCGAATCTTTTCACTGAATCTATTAAACCTACTCACAAAACCGGTCTAAATGATTCGTTCCGAAACAGATGGTCCTACGGCTACTGAGTCAACAACCCGAGAACCGAGAAGTGAAGCGAGGATTTGACTAAGGTAAGATAATTTAATGGTCTAATAACAGAAATGTTACATACTTATATACCCCCAAGTATCCTTATTATTAATAAAAATGTAATCGTCAAGGACCACGTGATGACCTAGTGACATTATGACGTGAATTAATAATTTTAATCGGTTATTTGAAACGATATTTTATTTGAACTGATGCGCTGAAGTGAGTCGGACTCCATCATAAATATTTTTCACGACTTTGAGATAAATTCACGAAATATTGTACTACTAATATAAGTACTACTAATATTACCGTTAATAGTATATTGTTATATTATTATTGTTGTTGTTGTTGTCGTTGTTGTTTGTGTTGACAAATAATTCCTAGCAGTTTTGATGCTTCATATTGAACTTTGAATATAGAAAAATGTGCTTCTTCATTTTTATTTTATTTCTTTATTTATTTTTTTGCCACAAATGTCCAATAAGATATCGTCGTACTGTCGGCGATAGAAGCTTACAGGAGATCTCTAGGCTATTAGAATTTCTTTAAATATTCCATTGCTAGTACAGTGGGAATGGAGTATGATAAAGTAGTGTAGTAAACGCTCCTGCGCACTAGATGGTGCCAGAACGGCGTAATTTAAAAGAGCAGAATCTTTAGTCAGGCCTTTTTACGCTTGAAAATT